AAAAAGAAAAAAAGCCAGAAGTGGCGCTGTGGCTCAAGTGGTAGAGCGCTAGCCTTGAGCTGAAGAGCTGAGGGACAGTGCTCAGGCCCAGAGTTCAGGCACAGCTAACGAACCAAAAAAAAAAAAAAAACAAAAAAACCACAAATGAAGCTTAGGGATGATACCAGGCCCTGAGTTCAAGACTGGCAATAATAATAATAATATTTAGCTTGTGTATGTGAGCATATCTACATGTGCACACTAATACTAGGGTTCTAACTAAGGGCCCTGTGTACTCAGGGCCCCCTCCTTTTTTTTGGCCAATGCTGGAGCTTGAACTCAGAGCCTGGGCTCTGTCCCTGAGACTCTCTGTGTTCAAGGCTAATGCTCTACCACTTGAGCCATAGTACCACTTCCAGCTTTTTCTGAGTAGTTTATTAAAGATGAGTCTCATTGACTTTCCTGTCTGGGCTAGCTTCAAACTGTGATGCTCAGATCTCAGCCTCCTTAGTAGCTAGGATTACAAGGGGTGAGCCACCAGCACCCAGCTTTTACTTATCTCTTATTTCCACCTTCTTGGTAGTTAATTGAAGAGTCTTGTGGACATTCCTCTGCCTGGGCTGGCTGTGAACCATGATACTCAGACCTCAGCCTCATAGGTAGCAAGGATTATTGGTATGAGCCACTGGGAACTGGCTAATTTTTAGGTATATGTGTATTTGTATTATATATTATGTTATTGTAGTAAATGTAAAATATGATATACCTAATTTTTCTAACAATTTCAAGGCTGTGAAGTTCAGTATTTTCCAAACCATTGCAATTCTAAAAAAAAATAATAATCTATTCAGACCCATGCACTTTAATTAAGTCCATGTTGTTCAAGGGGTCATTACATACATACTCATACCTGGTCATATTCTGAAGCACCAGGATAAAGAGGCCATCCCAGAAATAGCTCGGCTATTACACAGCCCAGGGACCACATATCGATAGCTTCACAAAATGGCAATCCAAGAATAATTTCAGGGGCTCTAGCAAAAATAAAAACATCAGGCAAAAATAAACATTATTTGAGGGAATTAACTATGTTAAAGTATTGATTGAAGTTATTTAGTAAAACTACAGTACATTTAGTTAATAAAACTGAGAACAATCTTTGGTATATAATAGTCACCCAAAACCCTTGGAGCCAGATGTGCTTTAGAACTCAGGATTTTGTTAATTATAGGGGAATAATATACACTCTTAGATGTCCAATAATCAAACATATTCACATTTCTGAAACAGAACACTCAGCAGGATTATTAGTTAGATAAATAAAGACCTGAAGCTGGGCACCAGTGGCTCATACCTGTACTCTTAGCTATTCAGGAGCTGAGATCTGAGGATTGTGGTTCAAAACCAGCCCAGACAGAAAAGTCCCCATGAGATTCTTATCTCTAATTAACCACTCAAAAACTGGAAGTGGAGCTATGGGTTCAAAGTGGTAGAGTGCTAGTCTTAAGCAAAAGAGCTCAAGGATAGCACCCAGGCCCTAAGTTCAAGCCTCACAGCGGACAAAAGAAGAAGAGGAAGAAGAAGAGGAGGAAAAGGAGGAGGAGGAGGAAAAAGAAGAAGGAGGAGAAAAAAGAAGGAAGAGGAGGAGGAGGAGGAAGGAGAAGGAAGACCTGAAATAACCTTACAGTGGCTTAAGTCAGGTTTACCAACAAATGAGTACACCAAATATGGGAAATACTTTTCAGTTCTGAGAGCTTTCTGAATACTGGAATCACAGATAAAGGATCATTCTAGGGGGCTAGGAAGGTGGCTTAGTGGTAAAGCACTTGCCTCGCATGCATGAGGCCCTGGGTTCGATTCCTTAGCACCACATAAGCAAAAAGAAAAAAGCCGGAAGTGGCGTTGTGGCTCAAGTGGTAGAGTGCTAGCTTTGAGCTGAAGAGCTGAGGGACAGTGCCCAGGCCCAGAGTTCAGGCCCCAAGACCAGACCAAAAAAAAAAAAAGGATCATTCTAGGGATGGCCTGGCAAGCACTGTACCACTGTACTTTGCCCTTTGGTGTCTTACTTTGTTTCTGAGGCAGAGTCTCAACTAAACCATCCTCTTGCCTCTGTTACCAATTTTTAGTGTGCCACATCACACCAAGCCTGCTTTAAAATTATTTTTAAAATATCAACTAAATGGCATGGCCAATATCCTTTGTGATGAAAATGTTTTGAAGGCATATGGTGGTTGATGACAGACTCTATATCTAGCCTGTCTAGGTTTGAATCCTACTCCATCATTTAATAGCTTCAGGTATTTAACTTGATCTCTCTGTGCCTCAGGTCCCTCATTTATACCATAAAGAGTACCTATCATCCAGGGTTGTTGTAAAGTCTATATAAATCAGTATTTTAAAGCTTTTCACCCACTGTCTAACACACACTAAACATTTTATTTATTTATTTATTTATTTTTTTGCTCTGTCATGGGGCTTTAACTCAGGGCCTAGATGCTGTCCTGAGCTTTTTCTTCTCAAGGCTAATGCTCTACCACTTTGAGCCAGGGCTCCACTTCCAGTTCTCTGGTGGTTAATTGGAACTATGAGTCTCAAGGACTTTCCAGCCTGGGAGAGCTTCCAGCTGAAATCCTCAGATCTCACGAGGCCTCCTGGGTAGGATCACAGGCATGAGCCAGCCACCAGTGTCCAGCAAACATTACCTTAACTTAATGTTAGACACAATAACTGTTATTATCATTATTATATTATCATTTTTTAAATCTTGGAACTTTGTCCTTTTGTGAATATGCATTTCCACTAAAGCTTCAAGTAAGAAATATAACGCTAAGGAAAGTTAAAGAAGGTAATCCATAAACTAAAAGCCTTTCAAACATAAATGCATCCAAAATAAATTATTCTCACTTATAATAAAGGAAAGTAAAGCAAAGAGAGGCTAATTTGCCCAAAATCACAGTGAGTAAACTGCAAAGCAAGGATCTGAATTGGCAATCTGATTCCACAATTAAGTATTAGACTATCTGTCAATGAATACAAATTATATGTATAACTAATAAATCTAATAGGCATGTATGGTATATTTTCACGTGGGCATTTCTCAAAGAAATTTTCTCTTAAGAAACTTTCTCTTAAGAAAAAAATGGGTTCAAAAGGGAATGGCAGGGGTGAGGATACAGTTCAGTGGTATGAGTGCTTTGTATGAGCACAGCTCTGATACCTATTCAACAACACAGAGAGAGAGGATGAGAAAGGAAAAAGCAACACCAAAAACAGTAACATTATTAATACCCGGAACAGTGTTTATTACAATGCTGCGCATTGTTCTAAGTTCTTTATAAACATTGCTCAATTAATCCTTATATTCTTTTAAAAGTAGCTATCATTTGTATGTCATCAATTCTAAGCTGTATTTTTTTGTACTTTAACATTTCTGAAATGTTAAGATCTTTACAAATATGGTATATTTTAATGGCAATGCTTTTTATTTTCTGAATTGAAATTCTTGCATATGATGATTTATTTTAGCTCAATGGTAATAGTTTTACTTTCTTAAGGGTATATACTGTTTCAATAGCATCTTAGATTCTGAGACAAAAGCATTACCTGCATGTTTCCATTTGACAAAGAACTTAAGAGGAAGCTACCCTATACTAAAGCAGAACCCAGGTCTGAATTTTACCATTTTCTCAAAATTTCCTTTCCTTCTTAGAAGTCAGGGAATTTGGATCTGTGAGGACATGGCTAGATTCCCTCATTTAACAGGAGGAAAACTGGAAAAAGCAGATCTCTCTATAAAGAAATCATCTAAATGGGTCTGACACAGAGCCTTGCCTAGCACACTTTTGTTTCAAATACCACATGCCTATTATGTTGTGTGTGTATGTATGTTAGGACTGAGAGTTGAATGAACATGGAGAAATAAAATAAAAATACTTACCCTTATGGATATCCTCCCATGTAATTTTGTATTAATAGCCCTTGGAAAACAGGATAGATGAGGAACTCCATGGGGTCTAAAAGCTAATACTTACAATGAAATAACTGAAAACTCAGGCTGTTCAGATTACAATGAAATAACAGAAAACTCAGGCTGTTCAGATTTATTCTATTTGACAATTAAGGGAGAATTAGTATCACCAGTTTTAATAGCATTTGATAAAAACTGTGGTTTTGTTCACCAAGGAAAACAACCTTCAAAAGTAATAAGCCAGGCCCTAGTGGGAGACTCATGCTTATAATCCTAGCTACTCCAGAGGCTGAGAAGTGAGGATTGTGGTTCCAAGACAGCCCAGGCAGGAAAGTCCAAGAGATTCTTATCTCCAATTAACCACCAAAAAGCAGGAACTGGTAGTTAGCAGAGCTCTTGCCTTGAGTGAAAAAGCTAAAAGACAGCAACCAGGACTGGCACAAACAAAAACAAAGAGTGATAGGAATTGTTTTTCTTATTTGGTTTCATCTTGTTTCTGGAATAACAAAAGCAAGCAAAAGCCAGGAGCCACTCCTATAATCGTAGCTATTCTTGGGGCTAAAATCTAAGCATCACAGTTTGAAGCCAGCCCAGGCAGGAAAGTCCATGAGATTCTTATCTCCAATTAACAATCAGAAAACCAGAAGTGGCTCCTGTGCCAAAATTATCAAAGTATTAAACATATAATGAAGCTGTTCATTGGGTTCATGAGGGCTTTTTCTTCCTTAGGACCTGACTCTAGGAACAAGACTAAAGCTTTTATTTTTTCTCCCTTACAGAACATGCAAACATCATTATAGACCTGGGAATGTGACTTAGTGGTTGAGTGCTTGCCTGGCATGCAGGAAACCCTGGGTTCAATTCCTCAGTACCACATGAACAGAAAAGGCTGGAAGTGGCACTGTGGCTTAAGTAATAGAGCGCTAGCCTTGAGCAAAAGCAGCTCAGGGGCAGTGCTTAAGCCCTGAGTTCAAGACCTAGAACTGGCAAAAGAAAAAACATCATTATAGCATCATTAAACTCTACATTAAGATGTAAGTCTTGAACACAATTGGGCCTCTGTTATTTCTTAATTCCTTAACATAAACCTAAGCAGGAGTGGGGCACAGCTCAGTGCTAGAGTATGTGCTTAGCATGAATGAGCCCCTAGACTTGATCTCAGTACCCGCACCTGCTAAGCAGGCCCTCTTCCCCTGATGTACACCTCTAGAGCTGATTTTTGTTTGTTAATTTTGAGATAAGGTTTCACTACCTGTCCAGGCAGATGATGGAGCACGATTCCATTAGGATTCCTGCATTGCCAGAATAATACACAGGCACCACTGTATCCAGCTCTTGGTTAAGAACAGGTTTTGAGGACGTTTCTGCCTGGGCTGACCTCAAACTACAATCATTATAACCTCCATTCCCAAACAGCTAGAGTTACAAGTGTGAGCCAATAGTACCAGGCAAAAAACCCCACAAAAACAAAAAACTCTAGTTCTACTCCATCTGGACAAAATGAAGGTTGAGTTAGATATTACTCTATAGGTCCCTTTTCATCTCTAGCATTCTAACAACTGGGAAGTTGTTAAACTTAACACAGGAAAACTTAAACACTTAAACACAGGAAAACAACAGCTAAAAAAAAATATGGCAGTATCCACTTCAGTAGGAAAATGGCATTACTTGCTATTCTGACCATTGTGAATCTCTTCATTAAAGATACATCCCATCCTTAAAGAAAAACACTAAACAGGTTCTAATTGTTATAGCTCAGTAGAAGAAACAGCCTTTTGCCTTCTCAACCTTTACTTTGTAGTAAAAAGCTCCTCCAAGGTAATAAAGATTTATTTATGCTCTGAAACTGAAAGCCAGATGAGGTTGGGATCACTTACCAAAACAAATCATTCTCACACACATGGTTTCTTACTTCCCATCTCAAAGGCCATCAAACCCACTTACAAGACTAGAGGCCTTATATACATATATATAAACTCCAACTTTTTGCTTTGGTGGCTTTGGTCAAATATAGTTTCCTCCCCCTTTTATTTATTTATTTTTGGTTAGTCATGGGGCTTGAACTCT